GTCATTACTTGAATACTGTCTAGGTTCAACACTAAGAGAAGGTTGGTAATAATATGTTTTATYATATACAGTTAATCTTAAGCTCTTTACGATTCGTATTTCTTGTATGTCATACAACATTCGTTTTCTCTCACCATTCAAATCACTCGAAAATATTTTTACGTGACTACTGGTGTYTATAGTTATAATATACACTATACTTTTGGTAATAATTACTTATTGATTGCTTACAACGGGTTCACCTACCATCCAACATGCTGCCGCCAAGTGATGGAGCAAAAACCAATATATACCTCTATATATATCTGTATGTATGTTTGATAAGACAATTTTTCAATCACTCTTTCCTCCAAGCCCTCTCCGTCAGGTATAAAGGCCCAATGTAAAAAGACAAGGTAAGATAAGGAGATACCCAATTACAACTACAATTAACTACCTCTGACTACCTGTCTCTCCATCTTTGGGATTTTGAGTCTTTCCCTCTATTCCTACCGACGTCGACACTGCCACACCTATCTGTTTCATTTCCTCTTTTGTTTGCTTAACAACCTGTGGCGTCATCGGCTTGCTAGGTTGCCTCGATGCTTGACTTGTCACGTGATGCGCCTGAGTAACCCCTTGCACTGTTGACGTTGGGATGGACACCGATATAACAGTTCCTTTCAAAGGCGCCGAAGTCTTAGCAGTGACATTAGCAGCGGACGTGATTCCGGCGGTCGAACCAGTTGGCTTTGGTYCGACCACTTCAGTTTTCGGTCGGTTTGCAGGGTTCTGAACTTGTGTCAAAACATTCCCAACAACGTAGACATTCCCACTCCCATCACTTGAATTAGTCGTTATAASCTTGGTCCCTTGAGGTAACCTCGCTAACAGAGACTGCATACTCACTACTGTACCTCCTTTCAGCATCACAGACGTTGGGGTTAGAGATTGCGTGACGTTACCTTGAGGCTTTGGGCTCCCTGTGGCGGATCTAGATGAAGACGGCAATACGTGGGTAACTGAAGTGATTCCAGGTTTATAAACTTGGGGTATGGATGATGAAGTACTTGTTTGCGGAGAAGAGGATCTTAGTGCAGTCGCTGAAGCAGTTGTCAGAACGTATGTCCTGGTCAATGCTCCCTTTCCGGGTAAAGATGTTGATGGACTAGCCCTCTGCTGCGCTGCGGTGCCTGGGGTACTCGCTGATATTGTCCTGATGGTGGACATCTGTTGCGATGTCAGTATCTGAGGGGATGCTTTAGCAACCGTTGCTACCTGTGAAACCGGTCTTCCCTGCAAATTCCCAGCTACTGTCCTGACGAAACTGCCCTGTGAGGAACCTTGAACTGTTCCCTGTAAAGAMGAGGCAGCTTGTGAAGTTGATGGCGAACCGACTATGTATCGAATCTGGGACGAGTTCCCAAGTACTCGTGAACCAGTCATCTGGACTGGTTTTGACACTTGACCCATTGAAGACATCTGAACAACCGATTGCTGGGATGTGTTGACAGTTGAACCTCTCACTTGTGAAACGTTTGTTGACTTAACTAAATTACTGTGAGCGGTTGAAGGGAGTTGATTAGCATTAATGTGGGATATACTTGAGGATGATGTGTTGGCCGCTGATGCCGAGGACAGTTGAGCCAAGGCATTCATACCTGACGAAGAGACCATGTGTTGGGRAAGGGAGGTGAGCACCTGCCCAACAAATTGCTTGCCTTGGTTTGCTCTTTTTGCTGCTTCCGACWGCTGACTTGTTGCTCCAGTATTGAGGACACGAGCTCCAGTAGTTGCTGCGGTGAAAGCCATTGATGGTGAAGAAACCACAGGCTTAGTGGCGGTAGTACTGGGAAGAGTAGCCCTTTGGGGGATCCCCTGGGCGTTATTTTGTCCTTTTAAGTTTAAGATAGGAGTGAATGGAGAGGTTGGGGACTGGGTGAGCAAAGTGTGTCTTATTCCTGAGTTGCTAACACTACTGGCAGGTTGAGTCACTGAAGACGTCGGTTGGTTTATAGCACCTGCCGTTGACATTCCTATTGGAACTGGCATATGCCGCTGGCTTTGAGGTTTAATGATGTACTGTACTGATCCAGCTCCTGTCTTAATAATGGACGGTGAACCAACCCCTGACATGGTCAAATATGATTGGCTGACAGTAGTAGGTTTGATCACGCCACTACCTTTAGCAGCCAATGAGATAAACCCTTGGCCTGCCGATGGAGTCATGGATGCAGAGACACTTGTAGCACTGATAGGAATCCCTTGATGAATAAATGCTCTTTGACTTGCTTGTATCGGGACACTGCTTACGTCAGTAGTCCTAGTCCCCCCA